ATGGCAGTAGATTTTAAAATTTATGCTTATTCTCACAGGTTTATAATAAAGTTTTTAAAATGAAGTTTTTCAAAACCTGGCTGACAATATGAACATTGACTTTTTTAAAGGGAGGGTTTAACTGTGGTGCCAGAGTGATCTCATTATCCTTTAAAAAAGGATACTATTCTGTGACCCTCCTGAATAGCTAACAGAATAGTATCACACTTTGCCAGATTTTTTTTTTTTTTTTTTTTTGCTGTATCTATCTGTTTGTTTATTTTTATATTTGGAGCCCTAGGTACTAAACCCAAGGCTTTGAAAGGTATCTGTAAGCAGTCTTTGGTAGATTTAAACATGGCCTTGGTTAGAAAACACAGAGATGCCATTGTATTTCAGCCAGCCATTTTATTTCAGTTATTAGGCTCTGTGTGGTTCAGGAAGATTGTTAAGACCACCATAGCCATTTCCTTTCCATAATTCATAGCATTTCTGTCTCTGAAGGTAGTGGTTTGAATTGTTGTAGTGTTTGGTAAGGTATCCAAATTAGATAAATGTTTCAATTTGATGACATATGATAGAAACTTAAGTATAATCATCTTTTTAGCCTTTATAATTTTAAGTTCTGTGTTATTTGAAAGCAGTGTACTTGACACCTTTGGTGTTAAATCTCTTTGAAATTTATGATGCCGTAGCTAAAATATTGAAAATGATTTGGATGAATTAATGCTGGCTCCAATTAGTCTTTTAATGGTATTAACAGCTTCAAAATTTTAATGCAATGTTTTTCCAACTTTCAGGGAAATACATTTGCAGTTTTTTTTTTTTTTTTTTTTTTTTTTTTTTTTTTTGCGATTAAAAATTTGGTTGTCTAACTAGCATTCAAAATGCATTGAAATTTAAGAATCCATTTTGATGGCCTTTTTTAAGGTCTGAAATTTGTGATGCTCATGTCTTAGTCTTCCAAGTGCTGGGATTACAAATGTGCACCACAATATTTGTCTCTTGGTGGATATTTTTAAGAAAAATGCAAATATTTAAGAAACACTAGAGAAAAATAAGTTGAAAAATACAGGTTGAGCTAAGCATACACAGATGATTCCAGCACTTGGGAAGCAGAGACAGGAATATCATGAATTCAAGACCAATATGGAGTACATAGAAAATTCTAGGCTGGCCTGAGTTTCATAGAGAGATACTATCAAAAAAAATAAAAGAAAATTAATTGCATATTGTTTGTTGTGGTACATGTGTAATATCAGTATCTAAGAGGCAGTGGCAGGAGGATTTCTTTGAGTTTGAGACAAGTCTGGGATACACATGGAGTATGTGGCCATTCATACTATATAACAAGAGTTGATATCACACACACACCCAACACACAAAGAAAAAGCAGGTTGATTTTTAAGAAATTATGCTGTATCCTGGTAAGCAGTATCCTATGTATACTGTGCAAGTTATATTGATTGGAGACTGATAACTTTTTCAACAGGGGTCAGATAACTCTAGTCCATATATAACATTCTATACCTTTAGGAAAAGTTTAGGAAAAGTTGTGAATGTAAAATTACACAAGTCTCACCTTGTTGGTCATAGAAAATGGGAAAAATTTGACACATGGACCATAGTTTAGATGAAGGGCTTTACTATGTGCTCTCTAACATGTATACTAATTTTGCTAACAAAAATTAGAGTTAAGAAACAATTTTTAATGATAACATTTTGAAATAACTGCCATTCAAAGAGCGAGTTGTAAAAAATAAATGATATTTCTAAAATCTTATGGCTAACATAAGCTATAATTAAAAAATATTTTGGATGAGCTGGATTCTGTTGACTTTTAAAATAGAAAATTAGGGCTTACATAGGTAACTCTGGTTAAGAAACTGTTCTACTCTTACCCTCTTCCCAGCACCTATGTCAGGAGACTGATAACTGTAACCCTAGCTCCAGAAAATCTGATTGAATATCCTCTTCTGAACTTCTGAACTCTGGACACCTGAACTCAGACTTGTACATATGTCTCATATATGTATGTATGTATGTATGTATATATGTATATATGTATATATGTATATATGCTGTATATATATTTATATATTCTGTATATATATAATTTAAAATAAATCTTTCTAAGATTAAGAGTTAGAAATGATAGCAAAATGACTTGCTGGAAATTATGTAGTTAGTTGCTAGAAAAACAGACATTTCAAGTCAGAAAATATGATAGTTATTATGGAACTGAGTTTATAAATTTAATTCATTCAGATTCCAAATTTAGTCATTCCTTTTCACAAATATTTATCCAGGCCCTATTTCTAGGTAATGTTCAATGTTTTGGTGCAATCGGGTAATAAGATGTGATCTCTTTAGATCTTGTGAAATGAGATTATATAACAAGATACTGTTTCTTTTCTTTCAGAGAAGGTCTCATTCTAGCTCAGGGCAGTTGAAACTCACTGTATAGCTCAATTTGGCTTTGAATCTACAGTAAACCTGTCTTAACATCAAGTGTGCTAATCTTACTAGTATGTGCCACCATACCTGCTCAGTTAGTGTTTGTTGATAGAAAATATGGCAGTTACTATGAGACTGATTTTAGTCTGTGTAGAGGGAAAAGGAGAAGGTGTGAATTTGACTTGAGGTAGATGAGCTGACATGCAAACATAAGTAATAACTAATGTAGTAAAGTTTCTAAAGAGCATATATATCTTTAATTTGTTTTTTTTTTTTTGTCTTAAGTATATTTTATCAGCTAATTCATTTCACAGCAAACACTCTTAATTGATTTCAAGCACCTGATTAAGGAACTAGCTTGGAGGTTGTATTTATTTGCTTGGTGTCCTTAGATTCTCTTTTTATATTTTTAGGTAAACTTTTCAGATTGACTTGAATAAAAATAGCTGCATTTTTGTTTCCCTCATATTTTTTTATTAATTTACTTTTTACTTTGAAAGTTCACCCCAAAGCAATGACCTTGGCTGGTTGGGCTGTGTGTTTCAAAGAATTTGGGATAGGAACAAAGTCTCATTAGAAATCTGGAAAGAATATAGGCAGTTATTTAAGTGAGTATTTTAGGTACATCTAGCTTCCTACATTAATCTTGACTATGGAAGATGAAAGATGTAAGTGTGGGCCAGAAAGGTGTTGTAGCAGGTAAAGGTGTTTGCCTCCAGGTCTGATGACTTGAGATGTATCCCTGAGACCCATGTAGTAGAAGGAGAAAACTTATTACAAGTTGTCCTAACACTGACAAATGTTAGCTGTTATGGCATGAACCTTGTTAATTTGGTATAACAAAAATTTACAAAAAGATAAATATCTACTGGAGAAGTGATTGTAGCTATTAATAAACCATCACTATGCATGCTAGCCACTGGTAACTACTAGTTTTCCACTTTTGTAGGATCAGCTTTTTAAAACCTGTACAGAGATTGAATTCATTATCTTTTGGTTATTTGGTTTTGAGATAGGGAGTTACTGTGTATCCCTATCTGGCCTGGGTCTTTCTGTGTAGACCAAGTAGGCTTGGAATTAATAGAGAGCTATTTGCCTCTGCTGCTATTTTATATTCTGTCTATGAATTTGGCTTGTTTTGACACTTCATATAAGTAGAATCATAAAGTATTTGTCTTTTTGTTAGTCTCTTGTTTCACTTGAAATAATCTCTTTATGGTTCTATAAGGGTTAGTATGTGTCAGAATGTTTTTCTTTTTAAGGGTGAATAGAATTCCATTGTGTACATATACTGCGCTTATTTATGTAAATCCTGATATATGCTTAGGTTGCTTCCATCTTCTTCCCTTTGTGAATATTACTGCTGTGAACGACGTACACAAAGATATCTTTGAGACTCTGCTTTCATTCTTTTGGTTTCACAATCAGAAGTACAATTATGTATAATGTGCTAATTCTGCATTTTTGAGGAACAGCCATATTTTTATGGCAGCTATGCTGTTTTTACATAGTTATCAGCACTATATTAAGTTCCAGTTTCTTCACGTCTGTAACTATGGTGGACTTGTCATTTTACAAAGTAAATTCTAGGATATATTCTGAGGTCTGCTGTAAATTGAACTTGTATTTTTGTGATTTTTTTTTTTTTTGTTTTATAAATCATCTTTCAACAGATGACTTAATATATCAGAAGTAGCAAGATGGTGATAATGATCTCACATTAAGGACCATTCTAGACTGGAATTTGCTGTGTAGCACAAGGCTGTCCTCCTGCCTCAAATTCTTAGGCATCTCTGACTATGAAAGGAATGTGAAATTATGTGTTCTGTACTGTGCTTAGTAAGTTAAGTGACTTTTATTTTTAAGAAAGCCACATTAAAGGACAGTATAACTCCTTAGACTTAACTCTCATGCAAATGTTTTGATATTTTAGCTCTATTTTTCCTAGGTTACTTAGTAAAATTTAATTTATAATTTGTTATCTATATTATCTATAATGTGTATTTGGTAGAGATATTTTGAAATTATTGAACCTGTAAAAGATTCCCTAGAAAAACTTTCAGTGGAGAGATCTTTTAATCCTAGACATTTTTGAACAGTAATATTGATTGTAACAACTATCTGTTCCTGCATAACATTTTACTGGCAATTTGCAGATTAAACAAAGATATATTTATTATCACACAGTTTGTATGGGTCGGCAATATGGGAATGACTCAACTAAGTCTTCTGCTTAGTCATACAAACCTATAATCAAGGTTTTGGCTCTTCTGCATTATCTGGAGGCTTCACTGGGGAAGTTCTACTTTTAAACTCTAAAATATTTTGGCATGATTCTTTTTGTGCGACTGACCATTTTCCTGAGTAGTGGCTTTTGATCCTTTCCTCAAGTTGGTTAGTACTGCAGCAAGATTGTTATAGTCCTTTGTCATGTGAGTTTCAACATGACCACATAGTTCAATCAAGATAATAAGGAGAGTTTCTAGATCTTTTTTTTTGCATAATGTAATCATATAAATGAAATCTCAATTATCTTTGGATTATTCTTTTTCTTTGGAATCTAGCCACAGGTGCTGTTTATCCAGAAGGCAAGGAGGCCTGCCCAACCAAATGAATACCATGAGGTAAGGATCATTAATAAATTATAATGCTAATAATTAGCCTTTTCTACAAGCTGTCAGTATCCAACATGTAGTCATGAAGTTAATTTGACAACAAAATTTCTTTAGAATATCAAATTCTTAAGTGTATTTTTAACTTTGTATACCAAATGCCTACAGACATTTTGCTTACTAGGTGCATTTTGGGAGATTCTAGTTACTACTAGTAAGTTAAAAGTACTATCATATTTGATGACGTGTATGTTTTTTTAATGAAATTATTAATTTTAACCACCTATTATTTCTTACATTCTCGTTAGCCTCTTTCTTGTTTGTATATGTTTATTTTGATTTTTTTCAGATGATTAGAAAGGGCTTAAATTCTTTTCTGAGAAATTGCAAATAATTTAAAAGTACTCTTTATTAGACTGATGAGAGCTGTTCACTTAGGATTTTGGCTGCTTAATTATTTTGTTGTTTGGAGAAAAGATCTTGTTATGTAAACCGGAGTGGCCTTGATCTCACAATCTCCCTCTCAGTCTCTGAAGTGCTTGGATTATAAATACCAGGCTGGGTTCCACTTCACCCTTAACTGGGACAAAATACTGGATTAATTTTTATCAAATTAGAGGTTTTATTTTTAAATAAAATTTTATTTCCTTAGGTCATTTTGAAAATAGTTTTGTTTTCACATAACTGAAGATGACTTGGTTTTAGTAAGCACCTGTGTTTTCTATGGTATTCCATAGATGGATATTCTTATATAGAAAACCTGCCCTTTGAAGGCTGATGAAGTAGGAAAAGTTAGGTGTTCTGTTTGTCACTGGGATGATTCCTACGATGCAGTGATGTCTTTTGACTCATCCCGATTCATTTTATTTCTAGTTCCTCCAGACCAACAGCTTTTTGATAAATTAGTCATAAGATGGTATGACTACGATGTAACCAGTAGCTAGGTAACAGAGGAAAGAAAGGCAAAGTCGTAATTTTCTTTTTGTATAGATACTCATAATATATATATATATATATATATATATATATATATATATATATAACTGTAGTTCTTGCCATTTACACTTGTTATCTCACTGGCAATAGGTCTTAAGTGTGTATGTTCTTAATTTTCCCTTTCCTAGAGCATACTTGATAATTACTGTATTTGTATATAGTTTTGGATCAAGCCTAAATCTTTTCTTTAGACTAAAAGGAGAATTGTAGTGAGATATCCACCCCGCCCACACCTGTTGCACTGACCACACCCTTTGGGTTGTGGGGACAGGTGAGGGCGTGACCTGGAGGTACTAGGTCTGGGGTCCATGACCCCAGCTCACTCTCTCACTTCCTGGCTGGAGACAAAGAGCATCAGGAAGCATCCTTAGGAGGGGAACCTGTAGAGGTCATCTGTTTCTGGTATAAGTGATTTTTCCCTGAATAAACATCCATCAGCCTTTCGTTTGTTCTGTATGATATATTACAAATTTAAAATTGAATTGTATGAGTTTTCACATTGTATGTTCACATGAATTTTTTTCTTTTCTAATGTTTCTTTTTTTATATGTAAGGTAAGTGTCTGAGATATTTATTTTTTATGTATAAGGTTATCAGTCATGGCATAACTTTAAGAAACATGTAGTGAAACATAAGGCTCTGAAAAATTAAAGATTTAAGGACAATGTGTAATCTTTATTCATAAATTTCCTTTTCTAAATAACTTCTTTGTACCCTTGACCTTTGGTTTGTCAGTAACATTTTAGATTGTGAATGGAAATGCCTAGGGTTGTATTTTCTTAGTTATTATTCTCATATTAATACCACTGAAATTTACCTTTTGAAATATGTTTTTCAGCTAAATGTTCCTAAAATGGTTGAAGAGCCGATGGAAGAGGGAGAACCAGAACCTTGCCTGGTAAGTGCTCATGTTAATTTAGTAAACATCATTTGTAGCATATAAGGAAAGAAAGTGATTTCTCTCTATGTATGTATGTATGTATGTATGTATGTATATGTTAGTGATACAAATTTAAATTCTTTGACATAGTCATGTAGTCCCAGGTGTCCTCAAACATAGTGTAGCTGAGGATACCTTGGATTCTTGATGCTTTAACATCTGCTTTCTGATTTCTGAGATTCCAGGCATGTGCCATCACACTTCATCTCTGAAGTTTTAAAAATTTATTATTTTCTTTTTGTGTATATACTAGGTAAATATTACATAGCTCCATCCCTAGGCTGTGATTTTTTTTTTTATGAGATGGAATCTTAGTTTGTGGTCTATGCTCATCTTAATCATTTAACACTCCCCCTGCTTTAGCCTCTCAAGTACTAGGATTACAGGCTTTAATCATAAAAGCCTGGCCTGCGTGTGGCTTTTCATAAAACAGCTTTGTTGAAAATATACAGGCCATAAGAATACCAATTTTAAGTATAACAAATGGCATTTTTTACATATTAGTATATAAGAAATGTGGGTATTTAAATAGAGTATCCCCTGCATTAAACTGAAAGAGATTATCTTCAACTTCAGAATAAAAGGAGATCTATCTTTAACATAATTAGACTATAAAGATAGCTTGAAATATTTAAAACCCATTTTCTAGCTTTCAGTAAGGATTGAATTTAAAGTATTTCAGAAATCTCTAACTAGTTTTAAAGATTGTTTACCCATTAGGTCATTGTATTTAAGGCCTGTGTAAAGACATATTTAAACCAAGTTTTGTGAAAAGCATTCTTAAGATTTTTTAGGGAAGGTCAGACTAATGTGGGCATTTGCCTTAATGTTATGATTTCAAAGTTAACCATCTTTTTAGGTATTTTCAGTCTTATCTTTTTTATTTAGAAAGAACTCCAAATAAATTATTTTCTTAATTTTTCTCTTTACAGTATAGATTTGTTTACTTAGGTTTAGAAAGGTTGTGGCTTTTAGCAGATGTGTAAGACCAACACTTACTAGAATCTATCTCCTGTTAGGTGACTGTTTTGTATTGATAAGAATACCATTCTTTTCTTATGTAGTATTGAAGATACTCAGTAAATCCCTTATGAAACATGTCCATCAGTAAATTTATCTCATATAGAAACCAGCAGAGGACGTGAGCTGGTGGGAGATCAGGGACTCTGGACAGACAAGTATAGAGTCAGGATGGGAATAATATAGGCCCTCTGCATCTGGGTGACAGTTGTGTAGCTTGGCATTTTGTGGGTTCTCTAGCAGTGGAATCAGGGCCTGTCCCTGTTGCATAAGTTGGTCCTTTGCAACCTATTCTCTAGGGTAGGAAGCCTAGCTCATCCTTGATGCACGGGGGAGGAACTTTGTCCTGCCTTAACTTGATAAACCATGATTTGTTGATTCCCATGGGAAGAATTATCCCATCTGAATAGAGATAGAGGAAGAGTAGAAGGGGCTGGTAGAAGGGAGAGGGAGCCAGAGGAGAGGAGGAAGGGGAAACTGATTGGTATGTAAAATAAATTAAAAAAAAGGATGAATAAAAAATCTTCATCTATTTAAGATATAAACTACATAGGTGATAAAAATGCCATATAAATTTATCAATAAAATGTTTTTTTTTCAATTTATTTTATATAACAAAGTCCATTTAAATGAAAACAAACATTTATAGACAATACTTGGGAATTTGGGCATTGTTCTTTCCAAACTACTTCCTGCTGGTAAGGGGCTCTGTCATGGGGGATTCGAAGAAGATTCAGAAATCCTGGCTGTAGTCTGTAAGGCTGCTTTGTCCAAGTGTTTTGAGTGTAGGATCACCTGGTACTCTGTTTCAGGCAGTCTGGCTTGATCAAACCACATTAGTCTGGAAGGAATCCACATATTTTCATTTTCTGTGGAAACAAAAATAGAAATACTTTTCCCCAGTAACTTGTCCTTGAACTTAAATTTTGGAGTCAAAGCATTTTTTTTAATTTAATTTATTATTTTACATGTCGATCCCAGTTACCCCTCCCTCCCTCCCTCACTCCCTACCTCCTTCCTTCCCTCTCTTTTACCCTCTCACATGCACTCTAACCACCCTTCCCTCCCATCCCCCACCCCAACTCCATATGTAGGGGAATGCCATCCAGTTGGGGTCATGTAGATCTGACAGGTCATGTGAAGTAGGGACTAGGGCTTCTTTCCTGTCTCTAGATTAAGGCAGTTATCCCTCCATGGGGGATGTGTTCCCAAAGTCCTTTTGTGCACCAGGGATACATCCTGGCTCCACTGTCTGAGGTCCCTTAGACTGCTCAGTTCTTCTGGCTGAGACCCATATTCAGGGGGTCTGAGTCAGTCCCATGCTGGCTTCCCAGCTATCAGTCTGGTGGCCTGTTAGCTCCTCCTTGTTCAGGTAAGCTGTCTGTATGTGTTTCTGCCGCCTTGTCTTGTATTCTCCATCTGCATCTAGGTTCTAGTTCGACTCAGTGTTTATGTATGGGTTTTTGACCCTGTTTCCAACAGGCATTAGTTGAGGGCTCCATGGAGAAGTTAGTTGTTGATCTCACTCTCCAGGAAGGGCATTTATGATAGCCTTTCCACGGAAGCTCAAATTGCTAGTTGGGAGCAGTCTTGTAGTTCTCTAGACATTTCTTTGTGTTCAATTTTATTTTCAAACCAATATTGGCTCCCTCTTTTATGTTCTCTTTCTGTCTCTCTCTCTCTGTCTCTCTCTCTTTCTCTCTCTTTCCTGTCTTCTATTCCTAACCAGGCTCAATCTTCCTGGTCACACATGTTTTCTTTTCCTCCCCCTCGCCTCTTTTTGTGACTGGGTTACCTCATTCAGGATGGTTTCCTCAAGTGCCATCCACGTGCCTGTGAATTTCAAGATACCATTTTTTCTGCAGAGTAGTATTCCATTGTGTAGATGTGCCACATCTTCATTAACCATTCTTCAATTGAGGGACATCTAGGTTGCTTCTAGGTTCTTGCTATTACATAGTGCTGCTATGAACATAGTTGAACAGATGTCTTTGTTGCATGGATGTGAATCCTTTGTGTATATGCCTAAGAGGGAGATTGCCGGGTCATGTGGTAAACTAATTCCCATTTTCCTGAGGAACCGCCATACTGATCTCCAAAATGGCTGTACGAGTTTGCACTCCCTCCAGCAGTGGAGGAGTGTTCCCCTTTCTCCACATCCTCTCCAACATGAGTCATCATTGGTGTTTCTAATTTTAGCCAATCTGGCAGGAGTAAGATGGTATCTCAAGGTTGTTTGGATTTGCATTTCCCTGATAGCTAAGGATGTGGAGCATTTTCTTAAGTGTCTTGCAGCCTTTTTGATTTCCTCTATTGTTCTGTACCCCATTTTTTAATAGGGTTATTTGGTGTTTTGTTGACTAGTTTCTTGAGTTCTTTGTATATTTTGGAGATCAGCCCTTTGTCGGATATAGGATTGGTGAAAATCTTTTCCCAGTCTGTGGGCTGCTGTTTGGTCTTGTCCACTGTGTCCTTTGCCTTACAGAAGCTTCTAAGTTTGAAGAGGTCCCATTTATTAATTGTTTCTCTCAGTGTCTGTGCCCCTGGAGTTATGTTCAGGAAGCAGTCTCCTATACCAATTTGTTCAAGGGTACTTCCTACTTTCTCTTCTAAGAGGTTCAATGTGGCTGGATTAATGTTGAGGTCTTTGATCCATTTGGACTTGAGTTTTGTGCATGGCCACAGACATGGGTCTATCTGCAGTCTTCTACACACCCTCATCCAATTGTGCCAGCACCATTTGTTGAAGATGCTGTCTTTGCCCCATTATATAATTTTAGTTGTTTTGTCGAAAATCAGGTGTTCATAGGTTTGTGGGTTAATATCAGGATTTTCAATTCGATTCCATTGGTCTGCCTGCTTGTTTTTATGCCAATCCCAGGATGTTTTCAGATCTATAGCTCTGTAGTAGAGCTTAAAGTCAGGAATGGTGATGCCTCCTGAAGTTCTTTTATTGTATAGGGTTGTTTTGGCTATCCTGGGTCTTTTGTTTTTCCATATAAAGTTGATTATTATCCTTTCAAGGTCGGTGAAGAATTGTGGTGGGATCTTAATGGGGATTGCATTGAATCTGTAGATTGCTTTTGGCAAGATTGCCATTTTTACTTTGTTTATTATACCTATCCAAGAGCATGGGAGATCTTTCCATTTTCTGGTATCTTCTTTAATTTCTTTCTTTAGAGCCACAAAGTTCTTATTATATAGGTCTTTTACTTGTTTGGTAAGCGTTACACCAAGGTACTTTATGTTGCTTGTCGCTATTGTAAAGGGTGATGTTTCTCTGATTTCTTTCTCTGTCTCTTTGTCGTCTGAAAAAAGTAGGGCTACTGATTTTTGTGAGTTTATCTTGTATCCTGCTAGTTTGCTGAATGTGTTCATCAGCTGTAGGAGTTTCCTGGTAGAGTTTATTGGGTCGCTTATGTAAACTATCTTATCATTTGCAAATAGAGACAGTTTGACTTCTTCCTTTCTAATTTGGATCCCCTTGATCTCCTTTTGTTGTCTTATAGCATTAGCTAGGACTTCTAGTACGAAATTGAAGATATATGGAGAGAGAGGGCAGCCTTGTCTTGTTCCTGATTTTAGAGGAATTGGCTTAAGTTTCTCTCCATTCAGTTTGATGTTGGCAGTTGCACTAAAATGTTTTTAAAGGTAGAATTTAAGAGTTATAATTATGAATATCAGTGGAATGTTCATAGCTTTTTTGTTGTCTTTTTGTCAATTTAAAATAGTGTGTTATTATAGAGGCTGCTGTATGATGTATTGATTCTTTCAAGGTTATTCTTTAAGTATGAATCTCTCGGGCTGAGAATATAACTCAGTGGTAAAATAGATGCTTTCATTCTAAAGTATTGTATTTCATCCCCAGCACTAGATCAAACCATGCAGGTGTGCACACACTCACATACAAAATTAAATTGCTAATAATTCCCTGTGTGGTCTAAAGCTGTTTGGTGTTTTGAGTCATTTAGAGATCTAATTTCACTATCTATTTTTAGTACCTTAGACTTTCACATTCACTCGATATCTTTTATTCAGTTAAAACAAGGGAAATTAAATATAATTTTTCTTAGACTTTCTAAATATCTAGTATATATAAAACATATCAGACATAACAGTTTACCACCTAGTCCTCTATTTCTAACTTTATTTAGGCTAGTAAAAACACCTAAGCATTTTTTCTCCATTAGTAGATGGTTGACATGAGTTAACTTCATGGGTGCTGTCAAAATAAGAATAGCTATATGTATTTGGTAATTTGTGATTCATTTATGTTTATTTTTAAAATATGATAGTTTATATTTTTGTGAGCATGAGTGTATTGTCTACATGCATGTATGTGGATTACATACATGCCCTTGGAAGTCAGAAGAGGATGTTATTTCCCTTGGTGCTGTAGTTATAGATGGTTGTTAGCCACCATGTAGGTGCTAGGAATTGAACCCATGTCCTCTATAAGAATAAGGGTTCTTAACTGACAAGGCATCTCTCTAAAACTTCATAAAATAGTTATCATTTAGTGCTACTAATACCTTAGGGAATTTAAAGAGTGTTTACTTAATAGTTAGATATCTCATAAGATCATGATTTATTTATTAGAAAGATATATGTCATATTTAAGTAAAAATATACTTTAAACCCCCCAATTAATTTAATCTCCATATTTTAGCTCTAATTTTCAAAATTCAAAAACTATGTTTGAAATGTCTCACATACAAATTCCTCCATAGACTTCCTTAAGCTCACATAAAAGTTTAGTTACAGAATATTTCAAGCCTGTAATGCATGCTTCATGTGTAATAGATTTTGCTTGCCTGTTTCATTTCTGTTCCTTTTGGGTAACATACTTGATAGGTAACTCGTAGTGCCCTACCACTGAGCTATAGAGCTAGCCCTACTTTTACTTTTTATTTTCAGATAGCAGCTCACTAAATTGTTCAGGTTGGACTTGAACTGATTCTGTAGCCCAGGCTGGCTTTGATTTACTTGTGATTATCTTGGTGTAGTCTTTCTATTTTGATGGCTATTAAGCCTTGCTGTGCTTCAGTATTTTGTTCTCTTGCAGTTATGCTAATCAGTTTTCTTCCTACTCCCTTTCTTTCAAAAATCTCAAAAGCTCTTGTAGTACAAATATGCAAAATTCTCTGATGAATAATCATTACTCAATACTATTGGACAATTACTATTAGTGGAATTTATGCTTGATAATAAAGTATTAAAAATTATACATAAAAGTTTAGTAACTTAGTTTTATAGATATTTTGTGTTCTTTTAGGGATCCTATGTGACTGAGATCTGAAATAGAGGTTTAATTCCATTTTGTAGATGTGGGGACCAAGACTGATGTAATTAGAACAACCCAACCTAAGTAAGAATTAGTTTGCTGTCATCCCTAGATGTGCAGTAATTGGAAAATAATTGTACAGTATTAAGTATTCCAATCTGTTCATTATTTTGATGTGTTTAGTTTAGTCTAGCATCACTTTGTGATTTACTTTATTTACATTATTATTGTCAGCCTTTCTTGAAAGTACATTGATATTGACATGGCTTTTAGTGATACTGCATTATTCTCTGCATGTTCTTCTTGTCTCCATGTGTGCCTTAATAAATTCACAACCAAACGTCTTCATTTTGAATGTTAGGGTTTTTTTTTAACTAAAATAATTTTTCTACCTTGAAATAAAACAAATGCTTGAGCAGATGGACCTTGCATTATTATATAAACCCCAATGTATTTAGTCCTTTATCTTTTGTTCTAGAGCTAGTCTTTATAGTCTGTTAAGCTTCTGTATTTGAGGGATAATAGACTGCAACTAGATTGTCCTCATCTTCTTTTCATCCTACCGGTTGATATCGTCCCCATAAACAAATCAGTTGTCAAATGAATGAAAACAGTAGTGTACTGATTATTTTTGTGCTTACCAGTACATTTTTCTAGTGTTACAGCATTCTTGGCTTCCTTTATTCAAAACAAAAAGGACCAGAATATAGAAGTTCTGGTTCAGCCTTCTTAATTTTTTCTTAATATTAATATACTTTAGAGTTTTGGAGAAGTACCTAACACTTGTGCTTCAGACTTGTCATTAAATGTGGAAAGTGTAGTAAACTCTGTTTGGAAGCAATTAAATTTTTATTTTACAGTAACTATTTCATTTTCACAGATCAACTAAGAATAGGCACTGTATATATTTTCTAGGACTGCCCTAACAAAGGACCACAGACTGGGTGTCCTAAACATCAGAAATTAATTTTCTCACAATTTTGGATTCTATTAAGTCTGACATCAAGGTGTTGGCAAAATTGATTTTCTGAGACCTTTCTCCTGAGTTTATAGATGGCTATGGCTTTATATCCCCCCGTGCTCACTCTCTCTCTGTCTCTGTCTCTCTCTCTTCTCTCTCTGTGTGTGTGTGTGTGTGTGTGTGTGCGTGTTTGTGTTTTCTCTGTGTGTGTTTGCTTGCATAGCCTTTTTGTGTATAAATTACCAGTCATTTGGGATTAGGGCACAGCTAAATGATGTTATTTTTTTTAATCATCTGAAATTTCCCCAACACAGTAATACGCAGTTCAACATACCACCCTTGAGGTGTATATCTGCCTTTCTGTGTTATTGATGTTACCAGCTGTCAAGAAGCCTAGCTCATTTGGACAGTTCTATTGCCTACTTTAGGCAAGGCCACCATTGATTAATCAGAGATCAAAGGGCCAATAGATAACATTTGATTTGGGACATTGTTGAACTCAAGCTTTGTGTCAGTTTTATTTTCTATACAGTGATGGTGTGATGGAGTTGGATCAGAGCTTATGCCTTCAGCTTTGTTATTTTGTGATAGGGAATTCATGCAGATTAAAAAAAATGTTAGTTACTGTACTTTCCCATAGGGACTAGAATTACAACTCACTAGAGTATATTCATAACACCTGAGAGGAGTCTTCTATTATGGGGCTGAAATATTTCCCAGGAGGATTCCTTTCTTTCTTATAAAAGTTCATGGCATGAAAACAGTTTTGAGTTCTATAATTTATGTTTCCCTTGTAGTAATCTAGATATTAAAATACTTAAGAATATAGTAAATTGCTATTCAAAAGGACTTTTGAGATTTTTGTGTTTGGCTTTCTCACAATTTGCAAGGTTTATCTTTACTTTCTCAGTCTCTGTCTCATAAGTTGCACTTCAATGAGGAGCTTAAGCATCTTAGTTCTCAAATGACTATGGTGTGTTGAACCCCAGTTAATACATCTACAACACAGTCTCTACACCTATGGCTCAAATAAAATCATGGAACAGTGGTTGAAAAGATTATAAGAGTCAGGGGATCACATTGGCTGATACAAGATAGTGTTCACTATATAGGACAGAGAAGTTGCGTCCATAAATCTCAACAGTAAGGTTGCATAAGCAAGACCTAAACGATAATAACACTAGTTGACATGCCATTGTGGATTGTAGAAATCTCACAAGGCCCCACCCCTAGATAATGTGCTACAGGCAATTAACGACTACTGAAGAGAATAAATCTCCCTCTCCCAGATAAGTTCCTAATTGATTATCCAATTCTAAGTCACCAATCTTAACAATCTATATGTATATAAGCAACACTAGATGGACTCAGCAGGTTTATTCATATATGTATATATGTATAATAATAACAAACAGGGTATGTATTTGAGATTGAGCAGGGTAGGGGATACATAGGAGGAGTTGGAGGGAGGATAAGGGAATTATATAAATACAGTAGTCATCTAAAAATAATAAATAAAACAAAATTAAAAAGTATTAGTTCTGAATATTATTGTTATTATTTACTTGTAAAGATGTTGCATAAATATATTTCACATGCTTTCATTTACATGAAATTATATAGTAAGAGCTGGGCTTGTTGGCACATGAATGTATTCTCGGTTCACAGAAGGCATAGACAAGAGAATTGCCAAAAGTTTGAATTCCATCTGATCCACATAGCAAGTTCCAATCTAGCTAGGTATCATAGCAAGACTGCCTCAAATGAACAACATCACCATCAACAAAACCTATGAAGAAATGAATTATATCTCTGTGTTATATCAGGAGATGGGAATAAGTCAATCAAAGTGCTAGACTGATGGGCTTTTTTATTGTACAATTTATTGTGCAATTTTTTTTGAAATGGAACTAATCACATGATGTTAGAACTGCACATTAGTATTATTTGGACTTTTGTTTTGCAGGATGAAGAGGTTAAAGAAATTCCTATTACAAATCACGTTAAAGAAGGATATGAGAAGGCAGATCCTGCACAATTTGACTTGCTCAAGGTTCTTGGTCAGGGATCTTTTGGAAAGGTAATAAATAATTTTCCTACATTTGTTCTTCTTCATATTTAGAATGTATACACATGTATACATGTGTAGAAGTCATTTGTAAGGCTCTTAAAGGATGCAAAATTAACTTTAGTTTTATATGTTGTATTTCTGTTTTTATTCAGGTTTCTTTATACTGTTCTATAGCAGTCATTGTTTTCTAATTCCCTGAGCTTACATTTTTCTAGGTAAAAAATACATTGTTGGTTGTCTAAAAAACATACTTGTTTTTATGAAGATATTTATGTTTTTTTCATGTACACTAACATAGCTATCTTGTGGTGATATCTCTGTTTCTTAACTCTGTATGAGAACTTAGAACTTATGCTGTAATTTATATAGTAGAATCAGGAGCTAATTCACCATTTCTTACAGTAAAGTAAAACTAGCATAGATGATTTGGAAATGATGTGAGATTCTTGCTTTGAAGAATTAAGGACAATTAGTTCATGTACTCATTGTATTTGTTTATTAAGTATTTGGTAATATGTTTCTCAGAAAGGAAGTATGTGGATCTAGATCCTGTGGCTTGTATACATAAAATATAAGACATGAAAATAATTGAATCATATAGTAAGTAAAAGCTTTTTAAGAAAACAGTACAATTTGTGGGGAGAAAGACTGGAGAAACAAAATACCTCAGTAGCTGAAATTTAGTTACAAAGAGGAAAATTTAGTAATTAAGACATTTGTAAGGAAATATATTTACTGAGTACTGAGTTTGTGCACAATAGTTTTATGAAATATATTGGTGATTTTAAAGTAGATATTGTTTGAATGTAGTCTGGTATCTATATGGTATAGAATATATGAAATACATAGAAATATTTTTAGGACACAAAAGACAAACTGAGATGGCTTCTGCTTTGACAATAAATGACATAAGGTGATTGTGGTGGATGATCATGGTTATCAACTTGACACACCAGGAAAGAAGGAACCTCATTTCAAACCCTGCATCCATCAGTTTGGTCCATGCACATGTTTGTAAGATATTTCTTGGTTGATAGTTGGTGTAGGAAGGCCCAGCACGTTGTGGGTGGTACCATCACTGAGTAGGTGAATTTGGTCTGCATGAAAAAGGTAGCTGAGCCAGTTACAGGAAGCATGCCAGTGAGTAAGTAGCATTCCTACATGGTCTCTGCTTCAGTTCCTGCCTTGAGCTCTTGCCCAGCCTTCCCTCCATGATTGACTATAATGTGTAAGCCAAATAAATCCTTTAACCTCAAGGTTATTTTTTTTTTGTCATAGTATCTATGTCAATATCAGAAAACAAAGTCAGAGGGGATAAAAATTGAAGAGTAGGGTGGAAAGAAATACTAGTGGAGCCTATTAATAGGATGCTGGTATTGGTAAAGAAGGTATTATAAAACTTACTTGTAAATTAGGTATATATTCGATAGTTTTATTTTTAATGTTTCTGAGATATGTGTTAATTTAGAATAGGTTTTTATATCTCAAAGTATAAATGCTTAAATAGTTGACATATGAAATGATACTACAGAAACATTTCAAGTTATTAAAATTTTGCCATAATGTGTATATGTATATTCATCTATGTATTTCTTGCTTTGTTTCATAAAAGATTTAAGAATTCCATAGATAAATAACAACCAAAATGGAATGCAAGTTGCATAAGTTGAATATGGTATTGTTTGCCTATAACACTAGCACTCAGGTTCCTGAGGAAAAAGGATGCTTCTGAAGTTGAGGCCAGTCTGGGGCACTACAAGTTTAAGCCTAGCTTTGGTACATAGTAAGATCCATTCTCAAACAAAACCAAAAGTGAAAGGGAAGAGAAAAAAAAAAAACACAAACAGGACTAAAAGCAACTGGCACTGTAGATGGAAACAAAAATCAGAGCAGGAAAGATTAGATAAAGCCTAGAATACATGCTGTTGCTTACAAATATATGACACAGTGCCTGGAAGCCTTTCTTAAGCACGTCAGAAATGAGATTGGCAGCCATTATAAAGAAACTTACATATTCAAGTTCATTAGTATTAATGATATCTTTAAGGTAGAAACATATTAAACAGACCAGATAAAAATTTTTATTGCACTACATAAAAGATAATGTATAACAAAAGTTTTTCTCAATAACATCTTCATGTTAAATGTAATAACATTCTAACAAATTGTTGATGTAATCCTTAAATTCAGTGAAAACTTTGTGCCTAAGGCTGTCTTAACAAAGACCCTATTTGAATTCATAGCACTAAAATACAGAATTGTGAGATTTATGCAGTTCATCAACCAAAGTTATTAAGAAGGTAGCTTTTGTTTTGCTTCTTAAGATGTGAACATACTTGCTTGTCAGTATTGCATCATTTGTGTAGGCATTGTGTGGGTGTGACTTGTTATATGCTGAACATATTCAAGAATGTAGCCAAGGCTGTGAATCAGATGTGTGTAGGCCTAGTGCCAAGAAACGTAGGGTTGTACAATCTTAAGTTCGTCAGCAAAGGTTCCACTGTTAAAACATAAGCAATGGGAGTTACAGATCTTATAAAATTGTAATGACATTAAATGTTTTAGTTTGTTTAACAGGAACAAAATTCAACTAATGCCAAAATCATATAAAAACTGCACATCAATGAAACAAGATTTAATGAAATTGGGATTAAAAGAACAATTCAAAAATGTTATGAGGTAGAATTGATTGAGAAGGTAAACAAAATGTACAAATCCTTAACTGAACTTTTAAGTGGAATTCTTAATTGGTCTTGATAATAAAAGCCAGAGTCAGATATAGAGGCAAATATCAGTGAGGAGCAAGCCACAGCCACACCTTACCTCCTTCGTGTCTTCAGCAGACAATAGAAAGATTTCTTGTTTCTCCCTGATAATATCCAGTTTCTGCCCAGCTGTCTTACTTCCTGCCTATCTGTAGAGACCTCCAGACCTCAATGGTTAGCTAGTGGCAAGCTCCATTCTCTGACCCCAGACCGGTTTTATTCAAGTAAGATATCACCACACAAACTAACCAGAGGAAGTATAGAGAAGACCCAAACTGATAAAAGTGGAAATGATAAAGGGAACAACAAACTACTGAAATTTACAAAATTATTAGATAATGCCTTAAAAATTTATACTTACAAATTGAAAAATCCAGAAGAAATAGATAAATTGATTGATATATTACTTACCAGAATTAAACCAAGAGTACATAAACAATGCAAATATACCGATACTAAGAATGAGAAGCATTAATAACCAAGTTAAATAAAAAGTGCAGTACCAGATGTACCTTATATTTTTCACTCATGAAGAACATGTATGTACTTGTATAATACATACATACATACATACATACATACATACATACATACATACATACATAGTGGAATAAGAGGGTAAAGTGGGAGGAAGAAGTTGAGAGAGAGCGGGGAGTATTGAAAAAGAGTGAGTAATAAAAGATATGTGTCATGAAATCAAATGAAGAGAACTGCTTGAATGGAGACTGAGGTCTAGCAAGAGCCAGTGAGGATGGAAAATGTCTGAGTGGAAGTAAGAAAAAGTCGTCATGCTTTGTATGTATGAGAATATCATAATGAAACCTGTTTGTATACTGAGTAAAACATAGAGAAAGCAGTATCTCCACAAAAGATGTTTGGGGAACTCTGTAGTATAAAGCTACTAATGACCACAAATAGATGGTAGTAACCCAAATATTACATTATTTTAAAACAGAAACAAAACACAAAAATCTGACATTGTCAGACTTGATTGTGTAGCATAGGCCAAATCATTTATATAATACATATATATTCATGGATTATTACATAATATTTCTTTTTGTAATAAGCATTTAAATATAGGAATTTTGAACATTGAACTCTTATTATATAATAGAATAATTGTCAAATGATAGTTTTAAAAATACATGGTTGTGTGTTGAAATTTTTCTGCAATCAACATATAAATATATGTGAGTGCTTCTTAATATATGTGAGTGCTTCTTAATGAACAATATAAAAGTCCATGTGACTGAGAGAAAAATACTTTTAACTAATTCACTCTTTTCATAGGTTGCCACAGTCTAATGAAAGTAGAAATATCATGATAGGTACAGTAGCTATATTTGTAGTTGATACAAGAAGATAGAGATAGGTTTTCTCTTGTTGAAAAATAGCAAACAGTCACTTTCTCAGATTATGAATTATGTTGTTTTTTCTTTGACATTTAGAAATAAGAGGGAATACTTGACGGGCTATAAGAAATTTCTTTGCACAACATTTTCTTTCTTGAAACATGGACTCTTTTATCCTTTCTTAAGTGCCTCTTCCTTTGTATGCTGTTCTTTACAATACCATTAATGACTGTGTTCTACAACAATAGTTCTCAAAGGTGTGGTCTGTGTGTCTCTAGGCATTTCCAAATCCTTTCAAGGGTTCCTTAGGTCAAAACAATTTCATAATACTCCCAATATTTTTAGAACTGCTGTACCCTGGCACAATAGAGGTAGAAACTCCAAATCGTACAATTGTCATTGGAGTTTTTACTGCCTAACACTTAGTTGAAAAATGTCCTTGATGAAATATAAATAGCTTTTTCCTTTATTACATCTCATCCATTGAATTCAGATCTTTTTTAACGTTCTATATTGAACTGAAAATACAATAAAACTTTTTTAATTGCAGCTCAAATAACAAGTTTTTTTTTTCAAAGCAGATACTACAAGTACACATTTTTGAATTATGAGGTGAACTAGCCATTTTTTCATGAATCACTATTTTCTATATCTGAATTATGTTTTTGAGAGTTCAATTTATTTTGCTTACACCGATCTTACAAGATCCATCCATCCAACTTCTGAGTTTTTTTTTTTTTGTTTTGCTTTGTTTTTATTGTTGTTCTTTTTGTTGTTTTGTTTTTACACATGGAATCCAATTTGTGTTGTCCAATTACTCTTGAGAGTGGGGTGTGGCCTAGAATGTGATCAACCCCCTAGGGGTCACTCCATTAAGGAAAACTGACTATCCATCTCCTAGCAATCAAAAGCCCTAGGGTTCTAAAAACTAGTGCTCAGTTCCCATTTTCCATGCTGGGATTTTATCTGGCTTGAGCTTGCTTCAGTCTTATGTATTCTAACACAATTGCTGTGAGTTCATATGTGCAACTGTTCTCTTGTAAGTCACTATTTTCATTAGAAAAAAAATGAGTTACAAAATGTGATTACTTGAATTTGAGTATTGATAGGATTTTTTTGTTACTGTTTTTGAAAAAAATGTTTTGATTCTATTTCATAGGAAAATTGTACTATTCATATTCTTGTCTGCTGAAAGTAGATGTTTGAAGAAAAATTAGATTATTAATTTTTTTTAATTTATAGATTTTTGTTATAAAAGCCTTGTAAATAAATATGCCACACCAAAATTAATCAGACTGAAAGTCTACACAACAAAACTTATGTATAGTTCATTAAGTTCAAATTAGCATTTGAAATGAAACCTGCAAAGCTTCACATTTAACCTGTTTTATCTCAGTCCAAGAAAAGTTCATCTACTTATAAAATTTTGCTTTATAAAGTGGTATATATATAGAATTTGATATGTTGAATTAAGGGGAATGTAAGCAAATATAAATGAACTAAATACACATTATAGCATATTAACTACAGTTTTATGTGTTTTATAACAAAATCTGAGGAAAAATGTGTAATTACTGGTAGAGGACAAGAATGCCTTCAAGTTTGGAGGGAATGGTAGCAGGGTACTATGGAAGGATTTGGAGGGGAGTTACTAAGGTGCTAAGCTTGATACAAACACATTAAATGCATGTAATGCTTGTGCAAAATTCTCCAACAACAATTTATAAAAGAAGTAGCTTCCAGGGAACAGCATAGCAATTCTACAAGGAGTATGTAGTATTTATGTATGTATGTATGTATGTATGTATGTATGTGTGCATGTATGCATGTGTGCATGATGTATATAAACAATAAGAAAAGAGGCCATGAATTTGAAAAGAGAGCAGGGAGGAACATTTGGATAGAGGAAAGGGAAGGGAGAAATGATGTAATTATATTTTCTAAACAAATTAAAAGTAAATGATATTATTCCATCTTTTAGGTTTTTGATATACACATTCCTGTATTATCTTTTGTCAAGTATTTTAGTTTCTTTTTTTTCACATGGTAGGCCCTAAACCTGTGCACATGTTAGAAGCACTAATTGGATTAAGTTCAGTTCTAGCATAACCTTGGGGATGGAACAAATTGGGGAACATAGTAGGTGGATATAATCAGAATATATTGTATGAAACTGACAAGACTATATAAGAAAATACATTTAAAGTGATGAAGTGGCTTGAACTGAAATTCACTTAACAATACTTCTTTTGTTAGGTTTTTCTTGTTAGAAAGAAGACTGGTCCTGATGCTGGGCAGCTCTATGCAATGAAAGTGTTAAGAAAAGCTTGTCTCAAAGGTATCAAATTAAAAAGATTACTAGAATATAATTTAATAAAACTCATTTTAAGAAACACTGTGTATTGCTTGTAAAGGGAATAGTTAGAGTTGCTTTTTAGCATTATTAAGTATTACAGATTCTTAGTTATCAGTAGATACTTCTGGGATCCTCTATTTTCATATAACTTAGTTTGGCAAATGTATATCTGAATAAATTAATACCAGGAAATGTGACATTTTTCACTAAATTCAGTCTGAACTTCAACATTTTTAAATGTTTACTTTTTTCAACATTATTTTTTACTTTATTGTCTGTGTGTTCCATGTTTAAAAAGCACAACTACTCTATACATTTTTATGCACAATCTTCTGGACCTGTAAGATTAATACTGACCCTGACTTGATGATACTTATAAGTCTAGCTCTAGAGAGGTGGAGTTCAAGGTCATCCTGTACTGTACACTATATTCAAGACCAACATGGGCTTCCTTAAACCCAGTGAAAGAGAAGAGACAGGAGGTAGAAAGATAGGACAAAGTTTACTACTAGTTTAAGTTTAATTTCACATGAAAACTTGAATAAATACATATTAGCTAAATAGCCAGTTTAGCCTATTTCTAGATCTAAACAAAATCTACTGTTTTCTGAAAATAGTTGTTATTATCTAGGACTACACAGACTTAGTTACATTGTTTATTTATGAACTTATTTGTGTATTTATATTTTGATTGGTAAATGACAGGTCTTTACTGAGATTACTAACAAGTATAACATTTCAATCTTGGTGTGATTTTAGTTCGAGACCGAGTTCGCACAAAGATGGAGAGGGATATTCTGGTGGAAGTAAATCATCCATTTATCGTCAAATTACACTATGGTATGCAACCCTTTTATTATGTAATTAGAGAAGTGCAATTTTTTCAGACACTATAACAAGAAACACATATTTCAATGTTAACTAATGTATTTAACAATATAAAACATATCTGAAATATGTGTTAATAGCTTTTAGTTGAATTTCATTGTCTTACTCAGTTAAAGTAACATCATAATGTCATCCAAAATCCCATTAAGTATCCCGGAGGGGTGTCATGAAGACACCCCAACTTGAACTATTGTCAGTTGATGGCTGCTGGTAAAGAGTCAGTTTTCTTTAGCTGTGCAATATCTAAGATGGCCCTACATCTATACACATAGTAGTAACTCTTTGCAGACTCTTAATTTAAAAATGAGCCCGTGAAACTGGGAGGCAGTAGTGGTGGGAGCTAGGGGAGGAATTGAAGAGAAGGAAATGGGGTGAAGTGTGTATAATGTATATGTATATATGAAATTCCCAAGTGATGAAAAATGAAAATATCTTCAAATTGTTTGACCGATAGTATTTCTAGATGAGATGAAACAGTAAATCCAGTGATCATAGCTAACTACGAAATCTTATGTAAGGCATTCAGATGCTTATTTAAAATGGCAATATTTTTATTTTCCAGTTCTAATTAAGACGGCTATGTGGTTATATCAGTCCATTTGAACTGTTCTGTTTTAATAGGGAGGAAGCAAGATCAGTAAGATGCAGCAGAAATAATGGGATGAGTTTTGAAATAGATATTTATGCATTTGAATCATGTCTCCATTCATATATAAAAGAGGTTGTAGATATTTTATTGGGAAATGCATTGATCAAAATAAAGCATTGATGCAGTTGACCATTTATTTCATTCTGTGCATTTAATATGTAGCACATAATTAATTTTGTTCTTACTGTAATTTTGACAAAAAGAATTTAAAATATTTACCCAATTTGTTCAAACACTAGAAGAAATTCTGATTCCCTTAACTCTTTTTTTTAATGTAATAGAATAAAAATAGTATTACAGAATGTCTTTTGAGTCTCTTACATACCATAGTACTAATAGTAAAACCTTATTGTGGTGAAATACTGTATTAAATGAAGTGGGCTACTGAAGCAAAATAATCTCTAATTTCTAGTAATATATTCAGAATAAAACTGCAGATGAAAGTGAGATAAATACCACAAAAAGCATAAGGAACAATTAAATATCAAAAGTTTTATTAGAAAACTTTGATGGAGATTAAAGATGCTATAGGGAAATGTAAAAAGTTGGGAGGCTTATTAGTGGAGTTGACAATTTTGAGCTTTGTAGAGTACAATAGATATATTTGGGAGACAAATTTCAGTCACCTGCAGTAGAACAAGAAGCTTCATTAAAAGGGGAATTTTAGAGATAGATATTGAAAAGCCACATGCAACATAGAATATGTTTGGAAAGGAATTTATAGCTATTTTGGCACTCGATTAACAGTGGATTTAATTTTGATGCTTTATCTAACAATATTCCATGCTAATGTGTAATTATTTTATGATATTTGAAAATAAAATGGTAAACATGTTAATAATAAAAGTATGCTAAATTTTCAGTGGTGACAGTCTGCTACAACATTATGATTTCTAATTAGCCTTTCAGACTGAAGGAAAGCTGTATTTAATCTTGGATTTCCTCAGGGGAGGAGATGTCTTCACAAGATTATCCAAAGAGGTGAGAATTTCCTTATACATTTGTTAGTATATTTTAATCCAGCAAAGCTCAAAAGTCATGCAGAAATTTGAAATCATAAGCTTTTTATGACTGTATAAAATATTTAGTTATGTCAGTTGATACTTTCTTTGTTTTTTAGATAATCTTTTTCCTTGTCTAAAACAAAAAGGCATTATCAATAACTGAGTGAAGTAGATAGGAGCAAGCCTAGAACTTTGGCTACTCAAGCTACCTAAATGCCTGTTGGTGTAGGGTTTAAATACTTTATTCATTTAAAATGGATTTATTGAGGTATAATTGACATACAGTAAATGGTATAACAAATTATACAATTTGATACCTTCTGTCTTTTCATGTAACTGTGAAATCATTATTAAAATAAAATAACATTGTTACCAAATGTTTATAATGTATTTTTTCCACTCTACCCCTACTAAATCTGCTGTCTGCCACTGTTTATGTTTTCTTAGATTATACATAGTCCTTATATATATATATATATATACACATATATATACACACATTATTTTTGTCTTATCTAAATAATTATATTGTTTTGATTTATCCATGTTGTTGTGTGTATCAGTTCATTCACTCTTACTGGTGAGTAATACCCATTATATGGATGTACCATGTTTTGTTTATTTACTTGATGAATGTTTGAGTTATTGCAGTTTTTGGATATTACCAATTAAGCTGCTGTAAACATTCATGTACAATGATTGTATTGATAAATGTTTTCATTTCTCATGAATAAATAGGAGTTTAATGGCTGGGTTACATGGTAGGTGTATATTTTCACTTTAAAGACATTGCCAAGGTGTTTTCCAAAGTGCTTTGTGTAATTTTTACACTTCCAACAGCAGCATGTAAGAATTTCATTTGCTTTACATCCTTACCAACATTTGGTATGATCTGTCTTTGTTTTTCTTTTTGAAAAGAATTTTGAACATCTGTTAAGTATATAGTATTACCTAACTGTGGTTCAGAATTTCATCACATTAAAAACTAATGATGTTGGACATCTTTTCCTGCATTTATTTGCTGTCTATCTTCTTTGATAAAATGTTTAAACATTTGTCCATTTTGAAGTGAATTGTTTGTTTCCTTATAGAGGTTCCAGAGTTTCTCATATAGTTTAGATGGAAGTCTTTCATCATGTATGTTGTTTTTTAAATATTTTCTTCCGGGTTGTACTTTGCCTTTTAAATCTCATATCTTTTGAAATCAGAATTTCTTAGTTTTGATGAAGCTGGGTTTATAATTTACCCATTAAATTAATGGTTTTAATGATCCCATTTAAGAAATGTTTACCTAATTCTAGGTGAAGATTTTTCCTGTATATTTTAGAGGATTCTGTAGTTTTGTGTTTTAATTCATTTTGGGTTATTTTAATATGTGGTTATGTAGGGTATTGCTGAAGTCTTTTTAAAATTCATAGAGGTATGTACTTCTAACATCATGATTGTGAAATATCTTTTCTTCATGGAATTGCATTAGTAATTTCATTTAAAATCAGATTTTCATACATGTTAAGGCCTATCTCTGTATACTCTGTTCAGTGATTCATTTGTCTAACTTCATGACATTACCCCTCTGTCTTAATTACAGAATCTATATCTTGAAGTCATGAGCATTGCTTTTCTTGTGAAAATTGTTTAGGATCTTGTAGGTCATTTGCATTTCTTTATTAATTTTAAAGTCAACTTTTCACTTTCTTAAAAAAAAAAAAAAAAAGCTTGCTTGGATTTTGATGGATATTCCATGCAATCTGGAGGTCAGTTTGTACAAAATGGAAATTTAAAAATACTGACTTTCTTTCAACATGGTTTCTTTTCCATTCCATTAGCAGTTGTCTAATTTTAGCAATTATTATTTTCAGCATATAGGTCTTGAACATCTTTTGTTAGATTTATCTTTTAGTGCTTCGTGTTTCAATGATGTAAGTAAAACTGTTCTTTGAATTTCATTATCAGTGGGAAAAACAATAGAGTTTTTCTATTTTGAGCTTGTATCTCCTAGTAGAATTACATCTTCTGGTTGTTTTTTGAATAGATTCAAAAGCTTTTACATTAATTACTTTTGACAAGGTGCTTTACTTCTTTCCACTTTGGATATCATGTATTTATTTCTCTTTTAATAACCTTGTTAACACTAACTTGAGTTGAGCAAATTTGATGTGAAGTAGACATTCTTGTCTTCTTAGTGATTCAAACAAAGGGAGGCATACTTTCATTTTAAAACTAAAAACTTTATATTTATGTGTACTTTATTGGGTTGAGTTACCATCTCCTATTAAGTTTTGGAGAGATGTTTTAATAGGTGTTGCATATTGTCACATACATTTAATTGAGACATTTTTTCTTGCTTAATTTATGAAATGATCAATTAAATGAAGCATATTAATTTGAAATTAAATAGAGTAAATTAAATGAAAGTGAAATGGTAACCCAATCTTGCATTTGTGAAGGAATCCCCCTTAGACATCAAGTATAATTACTTAAAAATATTATTGTATGATGTGTGCTAAATATTTGTAATAAACATTTTGTATTTATTTAATTTTTTTCTGTTTTTATTGTATGTATATGAGTGTTTTGCCTGAATATATGTCTGTGCGTCATGCTCAGGTAGTGCCAATGGAGGCTAGAAGAGGGTATTAGATTTCTCTGAGAACAGATGTCTAAGAACAGCCATGGAGGTTCTGGGATTTGAGCATGACTCTTCTGAAAGAGTAGCCAGTGCTCTTAACTGCTGAGCCATCTCTCCATAACTGCAGTTACATTCATGAGGAATATTTACATTCTTTATGTTTTCTTCATGTATTTGTCATGTCAAGAGAAATTCTTGCTTCCTAAGTTGCATAGTTTTGTCTTCAACTTTGCAGTAGAACTTAATTCAGTAGTAATTATTAGATTGTTGTTTCTTTTTGATTGAGTTTATCTGCTAGCTTATGTCTTTCAAGGAATTGATTATTAGTTTCATCAAATTTGTAGCTATAGGTGTTATATTACTTATATTGTTGCTTTTGCTATATTAAAATGCCATGACCCTGAAGAACTTCTAGTAGGAAGAGTTTATTTTAGCCTGCAGTTCCAGAAGGAGAGCCTATAATGACAACAGAGACATGAAAACAGGGTAGGAAGCTAAGGGATTTCATCTCACAAACACTTAAGAAGCAGACAGAATGATTTGGAAGTGGGGCAAGGCTGTAAAGCTCAAAGCCTGCCCTCAATAATATACTTTCTTCAGTAATATTTTCTGTCCTAAATTGTTCATAATCTGTTCAAACAGTGTTTAAAGCTGGGGACTACATGACAAATACATGCCCATATGAGACATTTCTCACTTTGAGTCATCACAGCTCTTCATTATTTTCTATTATTATCTTTTTTCACAGCTGTAGAATCTTTGTGGATGGCATGGTAGTTTATTCTCTTTAGTCCTGCTTGGCATTGCTAGAGGTTTATCAGCTTTACTTTTTCTTTTTATTATATAGGCTTTTGGATTTTTGTTGTTGTTATATTTCCATTTCCCTTTCTTTAATCTTTATTACTACTTTGTAGTTACTAGCTTCTTGTTTCTAGATGGAAAGAGGTTACTAATTTGAAGTCTTTCTTTTCCAATTCAACTAGTGTTAGAAATTCTTACTGGTTAATTTTATTATTGATATTTTGCAATGTAGCACTTTTACTTTGCTTAATGTTCTTTCTAGTTTCCTTTATTTGACTAATTGGGCATTTGGAAATATGGTATTTAATTTATGCATATTTAGTTATCTCTAGATATCTTTCCAATATTGTTTTATAACCTAATATTACGGTAGTCATAAAAGATACCTTTCATGACCTGAATCCTCTTAATTCTTTATAACATGATACATACATATTTGTAAATGTCCCATGTACATATAAGGAAATGCATAATCTCTTGTAGTGTGGTTGAACATTCACCAAATGTTTGTTAGAGCAGGTTTGTTAATAAGGGTTGCTTTAGAAATTGAGAATTTGATACATAACTACAAATGGTTTTGTTTTGGAAAAACATGAAATCTTGTAACTAGAAATTTGATTATTTCTTGAATTCAACCCAAGATTTTAAGGAACTTTTTATGGGTAGTATTCATTCTTGATAAGTAAATGGTATCATTATTGAATGATTTACTTTAATGCACTAATATTAGCTTTATGACTTTTAATATAGCAGTATTAGTTCAGTAAACCAGTATACCTTCTTCTGTGTCTTTGTTTTAAACTATATAGCAGTGAAATATATATGACATCTGTGATTTTTACCCTGCCTGAAAATGTGTGGGTTTTTTTCCATTCCACATTTTTTTATTATTAGTTTTTCTTATTTTACATATCGATCCCAGTTCCCTCTCCCTCCCTCCTTCTCTCTCTCCCATGCCCCCCAACCACCCTCCCCTCATCCCCCCCCCCACTCCACAGGGAGGGTGATACCTTCCAGGAGGGATCAAATGTGTGCTTTTTTAAAGTTCAGTATTAGACGTTTTACATTTCATACGTAATTTTATATTTTGATACCAGCTCACATATTAGATTGTAAGCATCATTTATTCTTGGTATATTCTGTCTTTCGTGAATGCATTTAATCAATTATTCTGTTACAATTTTATTTTTAGTTCTGCTAGCTTGGCAGTATTAACTAACATCTTGTATTGTTATTTCATAGTTCTTATAATTTATAATGTGAATTTTTAACTTGGGGTGAAAGGTATATGGTCTTCAGGCCAGTTGCTTTTCTTTGTAAGTTAAAGTTTTATAGAAACAAAGCTACACACATTTTTTTCCTTGACTTCTTTCATAGCTCAATGGCAACATACTTGCAAAGATTTTTTTCCTTCCTTCCTTCCTTCCTTCCTTTCTTCCTTCCTTCCTTCCTTCCTTCCTTCCCTCCCTCCCTCCCTCCCTTTATCCTTCCTACCTACTTTCCTCCCTCCCTCCTTCCCTTTTGCCTCCCTCCTTCACTGCCTTCTC